TGTTTGATCGGCAGAGAGTTCACGTTCCAGTTAGTGGAACGCTCGTCGATCTGATTAGATCTCCCCACCCCGCGAGCGATAGCGATAAGATAACCGCCCCCCGCCGCTTAGTAACCCGCCCCCCAGTGTCATAGCTTCAGAACACGCCGTCGACAGCCAGCCCCAAGTGCTCGCTCGCTGCCGTGTGCTAAAGCTCCCCACGCTCACAAGCACCCAGCCCAAAACACCTCCCATCCCAACCCCACACGGCCCCACCGCCCATATACCCCCACCACCACCACACCACAACCACCACGATGTCAGGTCTGTCCCGTCAATCATTGAGGGCCTCTCGTGCCGGGAGCTGTTTGCATGGGATTTGTTGCTGATTGGCGCTGGTGGGGCAAGAACAGGCAGCGCGGGGTTCGATCGTCACATTACCATCTTCTCGGAGCAGGGTCGGCTGTACCAAGTTGGTTAGTAACACCACAATCCATCCCACCATTCACCAGCCAATTCTGTAGAGAAAGAAGGGTTTCTAGAAGCCATATGCAAGTTCCATAGAGCTAACCTTTGGCCAATACTTTGCAATTAGAATATGCATTCAAGGCCATAACCGCCGCAAACATCACCTCCGTCGGCGTTCGCGGAAAGGACTGCGCCGTGGTCCTATCCCAGAAGAAAGTCCCTGTATGCCTCTCTCTCTCTTCCATTACTACCGACTCCTACAAATTATACAACCACCCAGAGACAGAGCTAACTCCCCCATACAGGACAAGCTCATCGACCCTGCATCCGTCACCCACATCTTCAGCCTCTCCCCCAACGTCGGATGTGTCATGACCGGTTCCATCGCCGACGCCCGTGCCTTTGTCACCCGTGCCCGCGGTGAGGCCTCGGAATTCAGATACAAGTTTGGCTACGAGATGCCCTGTGATGTTCTCGCCAAGAGGCTTGCCAACATCAACCAGGTGTACACCCAAAGGGTAAAATCCATCCATCCACCTTTTCAAAAAAAAAAAATGTATAAATTCTGTACTTACAATATACCTTACTTTATACAGGCATACATGCGCCCCCTCGGGGTCTCCGTAACCCTCATCTCCGTCGACGACGAATTCGGCCCTCAGCTCTTCAAATGCGACCCTGCAGGCTACTACGTCGGCTCCAAGGGCACCGCCTCAGGCCCAAAACAACAAGAAGCAATCAACCATCTCGAGAAGAAGCTCAAGGGAAAAGACTACGCCCCCGGATCATGGGAGGAGGTTGTCGAGCTCGGAATCACCACCCTATCGAGTGTCCTTAGTGTGGACTTCAAGAAGGGCGAGGTGGAGATTGGCATCGTCGGCCTGAATGGGGAGAGCAAGTTTAGGAAGTTGACGGAGGAGGAGATTGACGAGAGGCTGCAGGCGATTGCGGAGAAGGATTAAAGAATATAGATTTTTTTTTTCTCCTCAATTCTCGAGATCCCATTTCTAGCTTCTTTATTCTTTTTTTTGCTTTTTTTGCTTTTGTCGGGCCATTGCGGTAGTGAGGGCCAGGGGAATATCGTAATGCATTTCGATGATGATGGCTCATGTGCATGTTGTTGGTGGGGAACGAAGGGGGGAGTAATGAAACCATAATGAAAAAAAATAAACATATACCTCATCCTGCTTTTTACGTGTTACCCTCAACTATATCTAAATACCAGGAAAATCGATCTACAAAAGGCACCAAGCATATTACCAGCTACCTTATATAATAAAGCTCCCCTTAACTTTTCAACATATGCATCCAGCTGGGCCCCCCACACGTGAACGACGTCGACAATCCCATAAAAAAGCGCAATGATCATGATGATTGTACATACCTAAATAGTAACAAAATCCATCTGGAAAAATTGTGTATGTAACTATTATGGATCTTCTTCGAGCCCATCTATAGCTAGATTAGGTAGATCCAGTTGGATCTTACAACCAAGGTATAATTAATTGGCCTCAGAATTTAAAGAAAGAAATGAATAGAAGATATCGATGTTATAATGAGACTTCCTGCAGCACGTGAACCGCCCCACCTCCCCTCAGCATGCATCTTCAACTATTAATTGACAAACAATTGCAATTCGCCCATCCCATCGCGGAATTCCCGGGCTACCCCGAAATCAAAGAAAGAATCATTAGGTAGAAGAAAGGAAATTTCAAGAAAAGAAAAGAAATAGACACATAATCGCCCCCCAGGCCTTGCAATTGTCACCCCCCCCCCACTCCACTCACCCCCCACCCCCCCTCTCCAAATGAATGCCCAGCCAGGGCAAACTAGTACTTCGGCTTCTTATACTTCGACTTACTCGCGGTACTCGATGCCGTATCAGCACTCGTCCCCGCCACCCCCGCCCCACTCCCACTACCACCACCAGCAGCACTCCCCCTCCCACCGCCACCAGCAGCAGCCAACGTCTGGAAATCAAAATCAAACACGAACCCGGAGGCAGCGCCGGACCCGAAGGATCCTCCTCCTCCACCACCACCAGAATACGAATTACTTCTACCACTACCGCTGGGGATCATGACTCCGCCGCCACTTGCAGCATAGCCCCCCCCCCCGCTTCTCCGAGCGACCGCGGCGGCAGCGAGGGCGGCTGCGACGCCGCCGCCTTCGGCCATGCCTGCTGCTGCTGGGTGGGAGGTACCGCCATCTCTACCACTGCCACTCTTCCTCTCACTACCACCACCGCCACCATACCCCCCCCCACCTCCGCGCGAAGTCGGCGGTGCCGGCGCCGCCGGCGGAGGGGGAACATACGGCACGATCGCCGCGCGCTTCCGGACCTCCGGGAAGGACGGCATGTTGCGGACCTCCTTGGGCCTCGGCTCCTCCCTCGTGAACCACCGATGCTCCAGCACCCTTCGTGCGCTCAACCTCTTCTCCGGGTCCCAGACGATCATGGAGCTTAGCAGCGCAAGCGTCTCTTTACTTTCCGCGCGGAAGCGTTCCTGAAGGGTACGGTCTCTCCTTCCCCCCCCACCTGCGCCTCCACTCCCGCTGCTGTGGCTGCTACTCCCACTACTGCCGGCAGCTCCGGCGGTAAATATCCTTGCGTTCCACCTGGGGAGGAGGCGCATTTTCGGCCAGACGTCGTCCGTGGGGGGCCCGCCGAGGAGGGCGGTGATGAGCGAGAGCTGTTCGAGCTCGGAGTTTCCGGGGAGGAGCGGGGTCAGGAGGAGGAGTTCGCCGAGGATGAGCCCGCACGACCAGATGTCGGAGGTTTTCGTGTAGCGGGAGGTGCCGAGGAGGATTTCGGGGGGCCGGTACCAGATTGTGACGACGTCGGGGGTGAGGGGGCGAGGTTGGTATGGGCGGGCCATGCCGAAGTCGGCTGTTTTTTTTGGGAAGGGGGGGTTAGTTTTGTTTGGGGAAGGGGGAGGGGGGAGGGAGGGGGTTTGGGGGATAGGTACCGAGTTTGAGGACGCCGTTATGTGTGTAGAGGAGGTTGGACATTTTGATGTCTCTGAAGATTTGGAAAATACAAAGTTAGTTTTGAGGCCCCCCAGTTCCCAAGAAAGAAAGATTGTGGAATATGGAGATGTGAAGTAAGTACCTGTGGATAATATCTTGCTTGTGGATATACTCCACTCCTTCCATGAGTTGTTTCATGAGGCATTTGACTATAACAATTAGTAAAAATTCATACCAAAAACATAAAAAACGGAAATCATGAGAAAAAAATCATACCTTCACTTAACGAAAAATCCACTCGTAACTCATCCAAGAGATGTGCCATATCCTATCGGAAAGCGAAAAAATCTCGCCTTCACAGCAAAAAGGGGAGGGAGGAAATAACGAAAAGCTGGGGCATATGTAGTATATATGGATCATGAAGGTGGGGGGTAGGTAGATTATGGTCGTGGTTGATCTCATTGATTCATGGAACACACACACTATCAAGTACCTACCCCCTCTCACATGAAAACCACAAGAACACAACAAAACACCCCAACTTCCCGGTCGTCCCCGCGCCGCCGCCCTTCCACCGATTTCAGCCAGGAAATGATGCGTCTAAGTTCCCCCATCTCTTCACCTTTTCCTCTTCGTCTTCTTCTTCTCTCTTCTTCTTCTTTTTACCCTCCTTCTTCCCTTTGATTGCATGTGTATTTTTCCCTCTTTCTTTTTATCTTCAGGGAAGAAGGATGTTTAAGCGGGGGGACAAAAGACCAACCTGTTCAGCATACTCCATAACCATCCATACATCCCCCATCCCACCAACCTCCCCATCGAGTTCCTCCTCCAAATCCTCCTCATCATAATCCACATCCAGATCCTCATCAAAATCCTCATCATCATCGTACGTCCTGCGCCTTCTCCGCCGCATCCCGCCCTCGCCAACAGCGACATCCACAACCCCAACGACATTCGAGTGCCGAAGGGACCTCAGAAGGGCAATCTCCCGGATCGACGTGATCGGCATGCCGTTGCTCCTCTCGCGCTCGCTCAGACGCATCTGCTTGACGGCGTAGACCTTGTGTGTGGCATTGTCGGTTGCGCGGTAGACGACGCCGTAGGTGCCCTCGCCGAGGTGCTCGTGGAGAGTGTAGTCTTTGATTGAGCGGCAGTTTCCCAGGAGGCCGTGCGGGAGGGTGAGGTTGAGGGGTGCGCCGGTGATGGAGAGCCACTGCGGGTACGGGCTCGTGTCGCCTTTCGACATCGTGGTGGCTGGTTGGAAGTGTGCCGTAGTCGATGCAAAACTGAAAATGAATCGCTGGTGTTGGAGCAGCTGAGCCGGCGTGCGGTGAAGGTCGGGCAGCTAGCTTATAAGGCCGAGCTTGCTGAAGTTCGGCTTGGAGTGTGAAGCTAGCTCGCTGTCTGCGGAGGTCGGCTAGCTGCTGCGCTGGCCCATCGCCAAGACAGGGCATATCGATAAGATTGGGAGATATGGAAAGTATCCCTGGATAAGGTCAGAGGCACATTTGAGAAAGTGTAACTGCTAAATGATGACATTGGAAATAAAAATACCAAAAATGGCCAAATGGCCAAAAAGATAGTGGATGGTGAGGGGTTTGAACCCTCGCATCTCTCGATAACAGTGTTCAGAATCACTTCTTAAAACTGCCGCCATAGACCACTCGGCCAACCATCCGCTGATGCAAGTATGCCCTGAATGCGTTCTTCTGACTGGCAGTCTAGGGATACAATTAAAATAGTAGGCTGTACGCCCTTGATTCTTAGCTGCGAGCCACTCCTGATGGTTTCGAGACTGCTCCTGAGGCCCTCTCCTCTAAAAGAATAGCCGCAGTCTGGCAGCCACCCGTTTTTGAGGACGACTTTACTGCTACTAAGGTTATACTTTGTTCCAGTGCACTCTCACAGTGTCCAAACCCAGTGTTGTATTTTTTGTGTTTATGTATATACAATTCGTACCGACGGCCTTGGAGCTCAGATACTTCTGAGTGTGCATCTCCACCTGTCATGGTGATGTGACATGAAGCCCCCCTCTTCAATTCCCGAGCCCCAAGGTCCTTTTTAATGCTTGCGACCTGGTATATCAAATCCCAACCCGCAACCCCAAACAATCAATATAATAACCCAATAGCAAAACAAGAAAAAAACAAAACTACACCCCCCCAAGAATTCATGCGTGATTGAAGTCCAATTTACATGGCTTCATCTCTACCCCACCCTTGCCTCCTCCTTGCAGCATCCTCCTTCGCATCCCGCCTCTTCTTGCCCCACCTCAGCTTCACCTTCTCCAACTCATCCAGCTGCTTCTGCTTGTGCTCCTCCGGGGCCTCGGCAATCATTCCGATAAAGAACTTGCTTGCCTTGTATTTATCGGCAAGGATACTTCGGGAATTGGCGACGGGGTCAGCGGTTCGTAGCTCCCTAATCTTGTTGATATCCTCGGGGGTGAGGTGGTATTTCTTCTCCTTCGTCGGCCTGACTGGGGGTGGTAGTGGCGCTGATGAGGACAGGTCCTGTGCTGGAGTTGAAGAAGCAGCAATTGGTGCTGGCCGGAAGAGGCTCTTCCGGGGGTCCTTTGAGGGGAGGAAGAGGGATGGGGTATCGTAGACCGAGGGGAGCGATGGGGGTGGGTTGTAAATCAGACTTGCTGGAGAGCTGTTCAGCTGCTCCTCGCGCGAGCTGGTGGAGAGCGGGAATGGAGAGTGAGATCCAGTTTTGATTGAAGGTAGGGGGAGGAAGGAATCATCGGGACGGAGACGCAGACGTTTTGTCGTTCGGCGAGCAGATGTGGTGTTTCGGATGAAGGTGGTGGTTGGCTGTGAGAGCGTCGAGGTGATGCGGGCGGATGGCAGGCTCTGCCGCAGAATAGTGAGCGTCATTGTTCCGGTTTGTACACGGGAATTGAGGGTGAAAGGCGTGGAGTCGGGGGTCGGGTCGGCCTTTGGACGGGTCGGGGTCGGAGCTTTGTGCCAAAGTTCAACGGTGATCAGGGTTGAACTTTTGTCGCCAAGACCCTAAACTTGGCGTCATAGAGTCATTTCCACATGGTCGATAATGGGGAAACAACCGTCGATAGCCTTTCATATATTTGAATAGAGTACATATAGCTTGAAAAATACAAAGAATCTTATTTACCACTCGAGAACACTTCTCGGACAACTACCCAACTCAAAAATTACAACGCATTATAAAATATATCTCCGAAAAAACATAGCCAGGATCATTCACAGCCCCCGCACGTAATGTAGCATTATCATGACCACAACAGACCTACTACTGCGAGGACCTTTCCACGACATTCCCCACTCCCATTAAAGAAGCAAACGTTAATGCAAGACAAAGAAGAAATCAAAAAAGAAAAACAAGGAAGCTGACTGCGCATAAAAAAAGAAGGAGAACACCACCGAATCAAAAGTACCAGGCTCCGAGACAGAAAGAAACAAAACAAAACAAAACAAAGCCAACCGTCGACAGGAAGGCATCTTTTGACGAATACTGGTATTTGAAGAGCATTGATACCTTTTCCGTAGCGTTGGCCCTGAACAAAGTCTGCCCAAGCATCCATCTTCACACGCCTCCACTTCAATACAAGGTGATCTTTGTGTAGGTTGGCCTCTTGATGAAACAGCATGGCGTAATATGGAAGCCAAATATCCGTTTCGTAGTATAGTGAAAGTTTCGGTCATTACATCGCCATCTCTGCCTGTAATTTACGAAGCTCTTCCTCTTCGTCGTCGATTGCACTAGGAGCGTGTACTGCTGTTTTGCCTTTGCGCTCTGTACGAATGAATTAGTTGTATATTCCACAATGCTCGAAATAGGTGCGACTTACCAGTGTCCCCAACCTGGCTCACCGGCGCAGCTGGCGCAGAGAGCATCTTATCGTCTAGTGCCTCTTGCTCCAAAGCATCTAGCTCTGATTCCAATTCGTCTACATCGATGTCGTTGTTGGCACCTTGTGTAATTGCATGCCCAATCTCCTCTGCAAGAGCAGCACTTTCTCGAATTTCTTCCCTTTAGTTGATTTTTATTAGCACGTTGAATCAGCAGCAAAGGGTTATCACAAGGGGCCTACATTGTGCTCTCAACGTCATCAATTTTCATATTGCCGTGTATGGCCTTCATTGCCTTCCCGGATTCCTTCATCACTCGAAGGGTTTCGTAATTCAGTGTGGCAGCTTCTATGCTGTGAACCTGCTGTTCTAATGTGTTTATCTGAGCCTGGCAGTTTTCGAGTGATTGCTCATGGACCTTCTTCCGTTTTAGAGCCGTACGAGCCACTGCGCGGGTTATACGAGGTTAGCCAATAAGCCGTTGCTTGTGCCGTCGCCGGAAGCAAATTCGCCACTGCCTGAATTATTCTATCCTATACATACATCTACTTCACGCGACACGCCTTGATATGTTAAAGAGACAATAACACTTACAGTTTTTATTTGAGCTAACATGCTTCCGAGCTAAGGCGTCTTGTTCTGCGATCTGCTTCTCTAGGTGTGCCTCCCGCTTCTGCAGTATTTCCAGCTGCTCCCTCAAGTTGATGATGGCCGTCTTGGGTGCATTCTTCTTCATCGCCGCATTACCTGACCCGCCGAACCAGCCCCACATGATCGGCTTTTGGTTGTGATTTCGTTGCGACGTTTTGGGTAGCTCCCTGCTTGGTATCGCGAATGAGGGTGGGGAAGATCTGAACGAGCGGACAGCTAGACAACAACTGTGTATCTAGAGGGTCGGAATATGCTGTGTGTCGTGACGGGACAGTCAAGTTGGATCCGCGATGAGTTCTAAGCCTTCAACAGTGAATGAAACGTTGGTGGTGTTGATGGGATGGTTGGAAGCACCGATAAGCTTTGAAGGTCCGCAAGAGAGCCCCGAGGTGTACTTACGACATTGGGAGGGGCGGCTGAGGGATGTGAGGTACCCAGCCACAGCTAGTCACGCGTATATTCCATCATGCACCATCAACCGTGGAGAGAGCTCAAACTGAGCTTAGTCTAAGTCTAGCCTCGTCCCCTCTAACTCTATGTTGGCATGGACACGGCAGCCAAGGTACCCTGGTCCCTGTATGACCAAGATGTGACTCTGAGATCACATCAACTTTCGAGACTACAAGACATTGCGCTCCGGAACAGAAGCCATGCCGCCAAAATCTAAAAAGTCCTCAGCGGCCGGTCAAAAAGATCCATCAGTGAAGGCCAACGCCGAGGAGCCCGCGACCCGCATCTCATGGCCCCCGCTCGCATTGCCACCACCTGCTGTACGGGTGCTCAGTGTTGAGCCGTTTTTGCCTTCCCAGATCTATCTGATCCACTCGTTCTTTCCCTCGTCTTTGTGCACCACATTCACTCGGTTTCTTTCTAGCCTACCGCTTGTCACTACTCCTTCCAAGGCCAAACGTGGAGAGGCTGTCCGTGTAAACGATCGATTCCAGGTCCAGGATGAGGCTCTTGCAAAGGAACTGTGGAATGGGACTGGGTTGGCACAAGCTATCCTTGGTGAAAATGACGTGCAGGCCGAAGAAGATACCAACGATGGCGAAGAAGACAAGCGCAAGCGGCAACAAGCATTAGCGAAGCAATGGGGTGGGGAAGTTGTTGGTTTAAATCCAAACATCAGAATATATAGATACAAAAAAGGCCAATTTTTCGATAAACATTGTGAGTAGGAAGGTTCATCACATGCAAGGGTCCGAGCTCGAAGAAGCATAACTTGACATATTTGTATTGAGGTAGCTAACCTGTGCAGACGATGATTCGAATATACTTCATCTACCTCTACCAGACCAATCATCGCCCTCAACAATAAAAGTTACAAAGTGCCATACGACATATACACTTCTACTCTATTTGACTGCGCCGCCCGAAGTGAGTGGTGGAGAAACAATTTTCTACAATGAGCTTCCAAGACAACCAGGGAAAAAGGGAAGTGGAGGAACCGAGATCATAAAAGTCGGCATGGAAAAGGGAATGGTGTTATTGCACAAACATGGTAGAGATTGCATGTTGCACGAGGGCGCGATGGTAACTGATGGGGAGAAATGGGTTTTGCGAACGGATTTGGTTGTCCGGGGATAGCTCGACACGAAACGGGATTCCAATGATATAAAAACTTTCTGTTTCCTGGTGCGAGGCTCCTTGAATTCTTAATACATCATACTGGCAGAAAAACCGACACGATCCTTCGAGGCTACACCATCCCCGGCCATCTTGTCAATTTCCTAGTCGTGGCCCATCAACCTCCAATCGTTCCCTCACACTGCTCTCGTACGCCCCTAAATCGATGTTGCCAGCAGGCCAGATCTGTATCGCCTGAACATAGACCGTGTCACGATGCCCATCCAGGACTTTCTCTGGCGGCTCCTCAATGTACCCGATGACATTGAGCCATTCACCGTTCGTCGTTATTCCACTTGGTAGCGAACGCACGTGTATGGTGATGTCAAGCCGGACATATTTAGTGCTTGCTGCAGGCGTGGGAGGATACAACGGACGATGGCTCAGCAAAAGGGTTGCAGTGCGGGGATAGTAGGCATCGACGCTGGGTATCCACGTTAGCTGCATCGCTCGCCGCGGCGGGGGTGTGGTGCTGAGGTATGGGGGTAGGAGAATTGGTAAATGGTATCCTCGGGTAGATGCTCAACAGGGGACAAGGCTACTCACCAGGCCAGAAAGCGGACTTTTG